AGCGTCATCGGTGCCTTCGGGTTTCCCCAGACGAGCGCGAGTAGTTCACGACGAGAAGTGATCAGTCACGGCAAGCACTCAGGAGGGACATATAGGCACGGCTACCAGTAATCGAAGACAGCCAAGAAAACATTTGAATATGTATGAAGTTGGGGGGAAGACGAACATCCAGAACACATGGGGAATGTTGGAAGTTGTGTCTATGTGTTGGTGTGCCCCTGGGCCCCTTTCAGAATCTAGGCCTCTCAGACAGGGTCCGAGTAGATGGGATCGGAGGGACGCCCTGCATCACCGATGCATCGCCGATGCGGCTCGATGTTGAGCCCGATTGTTCTCCACGCCGACGGCGCCGATGCATCGGCGATGCATGGGCGATGCATCGCCGATGCGGCGCGATCCTCTGACCCCATCTACTCGGACCCTGCCTGGGAGCCTCCAACTGGGAGCCGGCGGTAAACCGTCAGCCAGGTTAGCGCAGGGACCCTCGTCGAGCTCTCAGACGCGTTTCCTGAGCCAGCAAAAGCTCAGGAAATCCTTACCTGAGCTTCCCAAGTCAATATCTCAAAAGTCGACCACGCGCAGAGGGGGAGGGGGGAAGGCTTTGTAGAAGCACCCATTTTTTTTTGAAGGCGCGGGCACTGTCTGTAGATGTGAGGCCCGCGCTTTCAAAGAAGCAGCCTCCTTCTAAGAAGCCTTCTCCTCTCCCCCCCACCCCTTGTGCGCGCCGCCAAAAGAAAAGCCGAACTCGCATTCCGCTTGGGGAGGGAGGGAGGGAGCGAGGGAGGGAGGGTGGGGGAGGGGGGAGGGGGAGGGTAGGAGGAGGGAGGAGGAGGAGGGAGGAGGGAGGGGGAGGAGGGAGGAGGGAGGAGGGAGGGAGGGAGGGAGGGAGGGAGGGAGGAGGATGAGGAGGAGAGGAGGAGGAGAAGGAAGGAGGAGAGGAGGAGGGGAGGAGAGGAGGGAGGAGGAGAGGGAGGAGGAGGAGGAGGAGGAGGAGGAGGAGGAGGGGGAGGAGGAAGGAGGAGGAGAGAAGGGAGGAAGGAGGAGGAGAGGAGGAGAGGGAGGGGAGGAGGGAGTAGGAGGGAGGCGGGAGGAGGAGGAGGAGGAGGAGGAGGAGGAGGAGGGAGGAGGGAGATGGAGGAGGAGGAGAGGAGGAGGAAGGAGGAGGAGGAGGAGGAGGAGGAGAGGGAGGGTGGAGGGAGGCGGAGGGAGGGGGGGAGGGAGGGAGGGAGCCGGCCCGGTCACGGCGCGAGCGCAGCCGCGGGCGCGGCAGAGCGGGCGGCGCACGGCGCCCGCGCACAGTCGCCGACCGTGGCTGCAGCGGCCCAGCGGCCGGTCTTGGGCTGCAGGGCCCACTCGGCGGCCAACGCCGGGTCTCAAAATCGAAGGATTGCAAAAAAACCTTTGAACGAAGGATTGCAAAAAAACCCTTGAACGAAGGATTGCAAAAAACACCCTTTTACGAAGGATTGCAATCCTTCGTTGCAATCCTTCGTTGCAATCCTTCGTTTTTTGCAATCCTTCGTTCAAGTGGCGAAGCGTCCTGGCGTGCCTATGGGCCCACCCAAGAATTTTCTAAGAGCCTTTTGTGGTTCCCAGGAAGGGTTCTCAGAACATTTCTGGCGGAGGCCGTCCTGTTTGATCACATCGGGCTTTTATGTTCTAAGAACACTGTTTTGTTCTTGGAACATTTTGGGGTTCTGAGAACATTTCGTGCCTGCTCAACAAAAGAGGCGGGGGTCAAGCGAGTAGTGGCGAAGCGTCCTGGCTTGTTGGGGGCGGCCAAGAAGGGGGGGGAGGGGGGGATCTCATGGCGGGGGCCATGATGTTTCCCCAGATCTCATGGCGACTCTTCTTCAATATCCCTAGCCGCCCCCTCCTGGGGCCGCGCACGTGCCGCAAGCCATGATTTCCGCCCCCTCCTCTTGGACACCCCCCTCTGGGCCGCCCCCGAGCTTGCCGAGAGGCCCACCAACGAATGTTCTAAGAACGTCTTCTGGTCTGCACGAAATGTTCTCAGAACGATCCTGGCTGAGGCTGTCTTGACTTAACACATCGGGTGTACGTTCTAAGAATAATGTTTTTGTGATTGGAACAGTTTTGGGTTCGAAGCACATTCCGTAGCAGGCGTGTAGGAAAGCCGGGACGGTCGGTCCCTGCTCAAAAAGACGGGGCCAATGCAAACAATCCCGACGGGAGGTTTTCGCTGCTTTCGGCCTCCAGGGGCCCTTGCGGGGCCTCGGGACCGTCAGAAAAAGACTCGGGATGAAAACCCGGTCCTCGAGAAGGAGTCCAGACCACGGGGACCGACGCCGTAAGAAATGCACGTCGCTGGGGGTCTGGGCTCGGGCCTGGCTGCAGTCCTCACTCTTCGCAGGACCCTCGGGCCTTGCCTCGGGCGGGGCTGGGATGGGGATAATCAGGAGGGAAAAAGCACAGACACACTTAATCGCTGATTCCCCTGAAAATATTGGAAACTATGGGGAATCCTGTTATTTGTGTGTATCTATTTGTGTGTTTGTGGGCCCCTTCAGATAAATCCGTTCCAGAGCGTTCCAGAACGCTCTCGGGACTTCCTCCAGAGCGACTGGATCTCAGAGATTCTCGCTTTATCCTTACCCTATGATGTCCTCATCTTGGCTCCGTCTTACCGAGCAAGAGGATCGGGACGATCGAGTTGGGTACGGAAAGAATGGGCACAAAGACCGACAGCATTCATCGAGGATAAGAGAACCCCTAAACTTAATAACATAGTGAAGAGGTGACCTCACTTAGGTCCCCGTCTTTGCATTAGGAATAATAGATATGGGCGGTTTGGCCTGATACATCTGCAGAAAAGACCCCCTATCCCTAATGTCCTTGGCCCTCCTAACTTAGGTCCACTTCCAAAGGGATAGGGGTCCTGTTCTGATTGTTCAAGCATTGCTCGCCATGGGGACACTGATCTTGAGGTTTTTCGCCGTTTTCAGGCTCTCGGGGCTCTCCACGGCCCCAGGACCGTCAGAGAACGAATGCGGCACACCCGCCCGCCCCAGCCCCCATCGTTGGCGTTTCTGCGCAGGTCGCCGTGGCGCGAATGTAGCGTGATTTGCGAGGGATCGTAGCCTCGGGGGCGCAAGGAATGTATACATACATACATATATATATATATATATATATACATACAAGACTGCATTGGTGCTGCGCGCCATGCACCTTGGTCCTTTAGAGTTTCGCACGTTAGCGGAGTGTGTGCGCGCGTGCATGCGCACACGCACATGCGCTTATGGAAACATACTACAGATGTACATATACCTATGTATGGGTATGTAGATGTCTATGCAAGTGGTCTGTGAAACTATGTGTGCGCGTACACATGCGTATCTCAGACGGTAGTGGCCTGACCAGCTGCTCCAGGCATCTCGCAACTTAAAGGTGCGAGGGTCTCAGGCGAAAGCGGCCCGACTACCATGGTCCTTCAAGTTGAGCAAGCAGGATGCGCATAGTTAAAGAAAGCGATAACGCCTTGTTGCCGTTTTTTCTTGGTTGTCGATCGGACAATGCCGTCCATTCCCTGTCTTTCCTTGAGAGGACAGGAGGAGAGAGGGGAAGGAGGAGGATGAGGCTGAGAGGAGGAGGAGGAACAGAGCGCATACAGAGAAAGAGAAGGAACAGGAGGATAACGGGAAAGAGAAGGAGGGAGACGGGGAGAAGAAGGATTAAGGAACATAAATTTTGGAAGGCTTCTGGTGGTGCCATTGCGTTGGGAGCCCTGGTGTTATATCGCGTTTGGGGGCCTCTTGGGAGTCTTCTTGGGGCCCTTTTTGGATCCCTTTTGGGGCTCTGTTGGGGTTCTCATGGGTCGTCTCGGCGCCCTTTTGGGCCGTCTTGGGGCGTCTTGGAGGCCTTTGGCCGTCGCGGTGCCCTCCTGGCGGCGTCTTGGGCCCGTCTTGGGTGCCTCTGTGGGCACTCTTGGGGCTCTCTTGGGCCCGTCTTGGGGCCCCCTTGGGCTGTCTTGGGACTCTCTTGGGTCGTTTTCGGGCTCTTTGGGGGCCCCTTGGGCTATCTTGGGGCGATTTTTGGAGCCTCTTGGGCCGGTTCAGGCTGATGTTGGCCCGGAAAAAGGAAGAACCAGAACAACTTCTGTGAAAACCATACAACCATCCATGGAATTTCCCTCTTGAACCCTCTTGGGCAGCCTCTTGGAGGCCTCTTGGGGCGTCTCGGGGCCCCCATTGGACGGTTTTGGTCGGTTTTAGGGTCTCTTGGAGCGCTCTTGGGCTGACTTGGAGCGCTCGTGGACCCCGCTTGGGAGTATCTTGGGCCGTCTGGGGCGCCTCTGGGACCGCCTGTAAATCTCGGGGAAGGCCGAAACTCGTTCGGGGGGGGGGGCTCGTCCGGGTCCGTCTGGGGTCCCCGGCATATAGGAAGTAGGGTAGATATATTTCATTATATATTACATAGAGCGAGATAGAGAGACTCACCTATATAGTGTATATATATAGAAGTTATTAAATATATACATATATGTATAGATATATAATATATTTATTTATATATTTATATATAATAAGCTGTGGATATACAGATATGCATATATATATATATATAATTAATGGGATCGTGGGGGAAGCGGGGTTCGAGAGAAGTGGGTCTTGAGATTTGCCGCCGTCTTCGGGGCCTCGGGGCCCTCCGCGGGCGGGCGGCAGGACCGGAGGGGCCGGGAGGGGAGGAGAGGGGAGACCCGGAAGGGAAACAAAAGGTGAGTGCGCACGAACACGCGACGCGGGGGGGGGCAGAAGGAGAAGGATCAGGAGGGCAGGGGCGGGGGCAGGGGCGGGAGCAAGGGGACGGACGAAGGGGCGTATGGGAATGGACGTCGGATCTCAGGCAACGGCAACGGGCAACGCCGACGACAACGACGACGAAGACTACGGACGACAACGGCGACGACAACGACGGTGACGGCGACGGCCACGGCGACGGCGACGGCGACGACGACAATTCTATTCTTTCTGCATCAGGCCATATTTCTGGTTCTGGACCAGAAAGCTGTTCGTGGAGGCCGCTCCGCGCAAGCCTTATTGAGCAGATGACAGCATGTAACGCTGCGGGTAAACATGCCTGGTGCCACGGATATGCTGCATGACTTGGCTCTTTCAAGTCATGCCCATGTATGGCAGCTCGTGATTGAGAGCCGAAGAGGTTGCCCAGATCGACCAGCCCACAACAGCTGTCCTTCCGAGCGGACCCTCTAGTGCAGGAGCAGCGTATGTTAGTTTCGAAACACCTCATCTTTGTGTGTGTGCTTGGACTGATGCACTTTGTTCACAATGGTAAACATATGTCGAATTGCTGTGTATGCTGATACTACTCAGCGCTATTATATAACTTCGCGGCCCCCACTTGCATTCCGCCTCCCTTCTTTCTGTTCGAAAGAATTGCGCGATTCCAGCGACCCCTAGAAGAGAGATGTGCCGCTTCCGATTCCGCGTGTGTTGTTTGCCATTTCCGTTGTGTTGTTTGTATGTAGTTGTTGTTGATTCGTCCTCGTCCTCCGCGTCTGTTGCGGGGCTTCTTGGGGACTTTTTGGACGCCTTGGGGGCGGCCGGATGTAGTCTTTTCAGAGCTCCTGGGGGCCTGTGCCCATCTTGTGGAGTAGGGCTTCGGGTGTCCTTGCGAGTTCCCTCTCTTGGGTCCCTCTTGGAACCTTTTTGAGACATTCTGTTGTCTTCGGTGGCCTCTTGGGCCGTCTTGTGGCCCTCTTGGGCTATCTCCGGGCCCTCTGGGGGGCCTCCTGGGCAGTCTGGAGGGCCTCTCGGGCCGCTTTGGGCCTGCAAACGCCCGAAAGGCGAGAAAGCACAGATCATTCAAAGGCATGGAGAATCACAGATGTGTGCCTCTAGGGCCCTCATCGTCGGTCCTCTGGGAGCCTTCGTGGGGGCCGTCTTGGGGGCCTCCTTCACGATTTCACCTGATGAGGCTACATATGAATCATTCATTCCGGCACGTTCTCGGCCGGATTTCGGCGTTCTCGCACTCTAGCAGCCCACGACGGCCCAAGAGGAGGTCTCAAAGATGACCCCCAAGACGACCCAGGAGGCCCCAAGGCGGCTCCGAGAGCCCACCAGGACGGCTCCCAGGACTTCAAGAGCGCTCCAGAAGGCTCCATTGCTGCCCGCAAGGGCCCCGATAACCGCCCAGGGCTGAACAGGGCTCAAAGAGGCTTCCAAGACGGCTCGGGCCTCCAGAAGAGTCCAAGATGGACCAAGAGAGCACCAAACCGCCCCAAGACAGCGCCACGACTCGGCGGCGAAATCCCAACCCTACCCTCGTCGACCAGCGATTCAGGCAACTCGATGGGCGGCGGGGGGAGGGTTCGGAGTTCGTCGAACACGCGGCGCATTCCGAACCCTATTCCCACCTCCTATCGATTCTGGAGAATCTATGTGTCGGTAGGGGCAGGGTTCGGATCTGGCCACCTAACGACAGCCCAAGGGAGTCTCCGAGGGCCCCCAAGACGCCCCGAGGCGGCTCGCCCCAGCCATTCGGGCAGCGCGCTCTGGGCGCGTCCAGGCTCCCGCTTGCCACTTGGAGGGCGAAACCCCGGGGGGCCGCCCAGGATTTGGTCGCCTGCAGGGCACACGCGGGGGCTGTGCCGGTTGCCGGCGTGGTGCCCTTGCTCAAGCAGTGGCGAAGCGTCTTGGTTCGCCTATAGCCCTACCAAGCAGTGTTCTGAGAGCCTTTTCGTGGTTTCCACGACATGTTCTTAGAACATTTCTGGCGGAGTCTGTCTTGTGTTACCACATCTTGCTTATGCTCTAAGAACATTGTTTTTTATAGGAACAGTTCTGGGTTCTAAGAACATTTCGCGGTAGGACTATAGGAATGCCGGGACGGTCGGTCCCTGCTCAATTTGCACCCTTCGGTCCATCCTTCGCCACCGCTGGCCGCGCCCCGCGCGAGAAGCTTCGGCAGGGGCGTCCAGGGCCCCGGCGTCCTTGCAGTGGGGGGCCAATGCCAAGAAGCACCCTGCTTGCCTCCCAGGGTGCCCTGGGTTTCGTGGGTTCCGGGGGCTTTCCTGCGCAAGGCGTGACATGCCCACACCAAAAATCCACGGACGCCCTGGGGTCTCAGGGTTGGGCTTCTCGTGGAAGGTTTCTTGTGGACTGGCCTCCACTGTATCGGCTGTATCCTGCGAGGCTCAGGCTCTCCGCACCGCGCCCCCCCCCCCACCTCGCGAGGAGGAGGAGGAGGAGGAGGAGGAGAATAGGAGGAGGAGGAGGAGGAGGAGGAGGAGGCGGAGGAGGAGGAGCAGGAGCAGGAGGAAGAGGAGGAGGTGGAGGAGGAGGACGAGGAGGGGGCGGAGGAAGAGGAGGAGGAGGAGGAGGAGGAGGAGGAGGACGCGGAGGAGGGGGGAGGAGGAGGAGGGTGGAGGAGGAGGAGGAGGAGGAGGAGGAGGAGGAGGAGGCGGAGGAGGAGGAGGAGGAGGAGGAGGAGGGAGGAGGAGGAGGGGGGGAGGGAGGAGGAGGAGAGGAGGTGGAGGAGGAGGAGGAGGAGGAGGGCGAGGAGGAGGTGGAGGAGGAGGTAGGAGGAGGAGGAGGTAGGATTAGGAGGAGGAGGAGGAGGCGGAGGAGGGGAGGAGGAGGAATCATAATAATAATAAACATAATAAGAATAAGACGAATAATATTAAGAATGCTAATCAGAATAAGAATAATAATAAGAATACGAATAAGAAGAAGAAGAAGAGGAGGAGGAGGAGGAGGGGGGGAGGAGGAGGAGGAGGAGGAGGAGGAGGGGGAGGAGGATAATAATAATAAGCATAAGCATAAGCATAAGCATAATAATAATGATAAAAACAATTATACTACTATTGATAATACTACTATTATTATTAATAATAATATTACTAATAATGATACTGCTACTGATAATAATAATAATACTAATAATCATAATCATACTACGAATACTAATACTCATAATAATAATAATACTAGTAATAATAATAATAATGTTGATAATAATAGTACTAATAATAATATTAATAATAGTAATAACAATAATCGTATCCACAAAAATAATAAGAATAATAATAAGAATAACGAGAAGGCCGAGGAGGAGGCGGAGGAGGAGGCTGAGGCGGAGGAGGAGCAGGAGGAGGAGGAGGAGGAGGAGGAGGAGGGGGAAGAGGAGGAGAACAAGCATAACAATCATAAGCAGAAGCAGAAACATAATAATAATGATACTAATAATAATACTAATAATAATACTAATAATACTAATACTAATAATACGAATAATAATACTAATAATAATAATTATAATAATAATAATAATAACAATAATAATATTAATAATAATAATAATACTAATAATAGTAGTAGTAGTAGTAGTAAGAATAATAATAATAATAAGCATAAGAAGAATAATAATAATAAGAATAATACTAAGAAGAATAATAATAAGAAAGAGAAGGCGGAGGAGGAGGAGGAGGAGGCGAAAGAGGAGGTGCGGATGAGGAGGAGAGGAGGAGGAGGGGGGAGGAGGCGGAGGAGAAAAGGAGGGGGAGGCGGAGGGAGGAGGAGGGAGGAGGAATGAGAGGAGGGGATAGAGGAGAAGAGGAGGAGGAGGAGGGGGGAGACGAGGAGGAGGAGGAGGAAGGAGGAGAGGAGGATGAAAGAACCCCACACAACACACAAAAAAAAAAAAAACGGGGAAGAGGGAGGAGGAGGAGGAGGAGGAGGAGGAGGAGGAGGAGGAGGAGGGGAGGTGGTTGGTGGAGGAGGAGGAGGAGGAGGAGCAGGAGGAGGACGAAGAGGAGGAGGAGGAGGAGGAAAGGGAGGGGGGAGGCGAGGGGGAGGGGGGGAGGGGTTGCGGGAGAGGAGAGTGAAACAAAGAGGGGGAGCAAGGGAGGCGGAGGAAGAGGAATGGCGGAGGAGGGAGGAGGAGTTGGAAAGAGTAGGGAGGAGGATGGGAGGAGGATGGGAGGAGGAGGGAGGAGGAGGAGGGAGGATGGGTGAGGCGGCGAGGAGGGAGGAGGGAGAGGGAGAGGCGGAGGAAGAGGAGGAGGAGGAGGGAGGACGGGGGGGGGAAGAGGGAGGAGGGAAGGAGGGGAGGGGGAGGGGAGGGTTGTGGTGGGGTCAAGCTAGCCAGCTCGAACAAGCTCGAACGCCTGTCGCTCATCTTATACCTTGGGTGGCTAGGCGTTCAGCGCGCGACACGAGCTGCGTCCTATTCCTGCCGCGTATTGAGCAACGTCGACTGGAAACTAGACCGCGCGCGATGTACGCCGCGCCCCGCTCCGGCCTCTCATGTTGCATCGTCGGCGACAACATGTCCAGCGCCCGAAGCGCGCCGCATCTCATTGCAGCCACGCGTGTTGTACCGCCAATCGTGTCGCTTCTGCCGCGCATGGAGGAGGAGGAGGAGGAGGAGGAGGAGGAGGAGGAGGAGGAGGAGGAGGAGGAGGAAGAGCAGGAGGAGCAGGAGGAGGGGCAGGAGGAGGAGCAGGAGCAGGAAAAGGAGGAGGAGGAGGAGGTGGAGGAGAAAAAGGAGGAGGAGAGGGAGAGAGGGAGGGAGGGAGAAACTGAGGAGGAAGAGGGGAATGCCTCTTGGGAATTTGCGGGGCGTCCCATTCCCACTACGCGATTCGCAGCGCCGACGAAGAGAAACTACATGTTGGCAAGAACAACGTCTACGTTTTTTTTGACCGGTACGACGGGGGGTCCCGCGTAGGGTTGGCCAGGCGCCCGCGCGCGATGTGCGCCGCGTCCAACTCCTGCTACACTTTCCGCAGCGTCGGCGACAAGAAAGTCCAGGTTGATGAACAAAACGTTGACATTGCATTGCTTTTTCCATGGGTAGGACGCGACCACCCGCTTGGGGTTACACAGGCGGTGTTCTGTAGGTCACAGGCTTGCTACATTTTTCGCAATTCGACGACACATTGGCGAACAAAAATGAGATTGTGTTGTTTGTTGACCGTTAGGACGGCGGGGTTGCTATCGGCGGGTTCGGTGGCGATGTGGGGGTGTTTAATCACAGGAAGTAAGGATGGG